TTTATATACCGCTTCATAGAGCTTTTACAGGCCCTCTCTAAGCAGTTTACAGAGTCAGCATATATTGCCCCCAACAATCTGGGTCCTCATTTTTACCCACCTCAGAAGGATGGAAGGATGAGTCAACCTTGAGTCGGTGAGATTTGAACTGCCGAACTGCAGCTAGCAGTCAGCTGAAGTAGCTGGCAGTAACTGCACTCTAACCACTGTACCACCTTGGCTAGACAGACAGACAGACAGACAGGCAGACAGATAGACAGAGGATGGATGATGGATGACGGATGACGGATGGATGAATGGATGGATGGATAGATAGATAGCAATAGCAGTAGTAATAGCACTTAGACGTATATACTGCTTCACAGTGCTTTACAGCCCTCTCTAACCGGTTTACAGAGTCAGCCCATTGCCCCAACAACCTGGGTCCTCATTTTACCCACCTTGGAAGGATGGAAGGCTGAGTCAACCTTGAGCTGGTGAGATTTGAACTGCCAAACTGCAGCTAGCAGTCAGCTGAAGTAGCCTGCAGTACTGCAGTCTAAACCACTGCACCACCTTGGCTCTATATGGATATTGTTTTTTGTTTTGACTTCTCAATTTAATATACAGCCCTGGAATTTTCTAGTGGTTTTCTCTCCAAATACTAGCTGGATCTCACCCTGCTTAGCATTTTGAGATTAACCAAGGATTGTTAATAGCGGCAGAATTATAGTTTTGAGACACGTATCTTTGGAAAGTGATCACAGCAGATGGTAGCCAACTTGACTGCTGTTGTGAAGAGAAACTGAATGTACAATGCTTTATCACACAGGAAATATTGTAGTCTGGGAACATTTTACTACTTAACTCCTTGGAATGAATGGCTTAATTATGAGATTAGAGACCTCAGATATTTTTGTCTTAAGAATTCCAACTGAATTAATACTCCTGTTAAATAGAAGCAGTATGTTGAAAAGTTATATAATAAGATAAATCCACCAGAAACCTGCATAGGATTTGAAATAGTTTGCTATAACTTACAATAGGCAATATTGAGAACATTTGAGATTGTAAATATTTTGATGCAAGAGATTAACTGTTTGGTGAACTTATTTATTTGGAAATGTATTACCAAAGAAAGGTGATTATGCTTTTAATTATGTACTACTGGGATGAAGAATGAGAAGGGATGGACACGATCATTCTCCACTATGTCGAAACATTATCTCAAAGTAATCAGCTTTTTTTAAAAACCAAAACAGGTTCCAGGAATTACCAGAGTTACAGTTCCGTATCTGGAGTTTTTGTCAATGTTTTCGAGGCCCATCAGTAGCGTCAACGGAAAGTAAGGATGTTGATTTAATTTATTTTTTGCTGTTTTAAGTCACAAGAGAAATCAAAATAGCAAAGTATGAATAGCAAAGTATAAGGCTGCCAGCGTAAACAGCATTTACTTACAGCAGCAATAAGCAAAATTAGGCAAATAAGAATGGAAGGCAAACACTTGACTTGGGCTTCTGTTTTCAGCAGAAACTCCATGTATACAACAGACCCGCTTTTCTAGTCAAAACTGAAGAGCCAGCTTGTCTGGCCAGATACTTCCTCATGTTTCCAAGCAGAACTGGATGGTCTTTATCCCACATCAATATTTGCTTGGTAGACGTAAATGTAAAGGCAGGATAAAATAGATTAAAAATGTTGTAACTGTTAAATATGATGACACAAAGACTGTACCCAGATGACCCACTGTAAGATTAATGATGGAAGAGTGGTGATGGAAAAAAAAAGAAAGGAACGCTACTGACAAGGCTCAATTGCCACCAGAAGTTCTATTTTCAGCTAAAACTATTGGTAAGAGGGCAGGCTTGATCAAAAGAACTGAGCGATCTTAATTTCTGGTTGTTTTTTCAGGTGGAATAATCTCCAAGAAAGCCGAACCAGGACCTTAAGCCAGATGGAGTGCCTCTTACGAGAGAAGGTACCAACCCACAAAGGGGCTTCCACCTCAGACAGGATCCCCAATGTTGCAAAACTCAAGAGCTAGTTGTAACTCAGAAGGGCCTCACGGAAGGGGCCCCTAGCGAAACGTTTTGCCCTCAAACCCAAGGGCCTGCACCAGTGGTGGGTTCCGGATTCCGGTGCAACCGGTATGGTGCAACGGGGCACAGGGTCCACCACATAACGCACACATGTGTCCTGCCTTCCAACGACACCTCCATGAGCCTCCAGCTGCTCAGCGGAGTGTCACACAGGCACCGTATGCGCCATGCACGTGCGCAGAAGTGTTCAAATACAAGTAAGGACGATGGGCGGGCGGGAGGGCCCTCTAGAGCATCATACCAGAACGGTACTCAGTGCTCCGGGCAGGCACTGGTATGCCCGTACTGGGGCATACCGCCTGCAACCCACCACTGGCCTGCACTCTTGTTACTGATCTCCCAATCTCAGGACACAGCAAAGGGGAAATCCCCATGCATTTTTTGGAGACAGTGGAGGATTCAGAGGCCTTCTTCTCCTGCATTTCATGATCCTTGGCATCTTAAGTGCTAAAGGAGCAAGACCAGTCCCTCACGAATTTCCATCAGCTGTAGACATTCTCAGCAGTTGTGGGAGAGAATGGTGCAAAAGCCTGCAGGATGGAGCAAAAAAAAAAAAAGCCAAGTTATAAGCCCATGAAAAACCAGCAGAGCTTCAACTGTACCGCCATTTTGACTCTTTTGGCCATACCTTGCAGTATCTTTATGCTAGAAGTCTCATTCTGCCTCCGCATTCTCTCCCTTTCAAGATTAACCATCCTCTAGAGTCGTGTTTCTCAACCGTAGCAACTTGAAGAGGCGTGGACTTCAACTCCCAGAATTCCCTAGCCAGCAAGGCTCACTGTGGAATTCTGGGAGTTGAAGTCCACATATATTCAAGTTGAGAAATGTTTGAGAAAACACTGCTTTAGAAAATGAAGTCTGGATTCCTGGAACAGGGTATTCATTGCCAAGGTGGTGCAGTGGTTAAATGCAGCACTGCAGGCTACTTCAGCTGACTGCAGTT